TGTGGGTGTTTCTGTACTAAGCCAAGTAGAAGCAACATATATACAATAAGGAAATCGGAATGAAGATGCTATATAACACCCATATGAAGCTTGCTTCATCTTTACGCTGAAACACAGCAAAAGAATCTACATTAATAATGTCACACATTTCTAGAGTGGATTTCTTCCTGTGGATTGGCAACATGAAAAGAACAACTTCTATAAAAGCGTTAGGTCTATGAAAGTCACTGTAGCAACTGCAGTTTGATTTCACTGTGTTGGTTTTGAGATCCTTCCAGATTTGCCAAAAGGAACATCAGGTCTACATGTATCAACCACCATAGTACAGACTCTTCCTTCCTGCGGGGTTTATAGAGTTTCTGCTGCTTCAGGCTGGGTTCTCTGTGTCAGATGTAACCAGGCTCTCAGTGGCAGCAGGGTGACCAAGTCATGGGAGAGAGAAGCGGGGCTACTCAGCAGCAGCCGCTTGTTTTGCTTTGAGACGCAGCATTCCTAGGTGCATTCACAACAAGACATCCATGTTCCAAACCACACATCCCACACATCTCTAATTTCCAGCAGTCTGTACAGGGGTGCTATGCATCTAGCATGTGCTAAAAGAGGTGGGTTGAGACCTGTACTTCTTGAAGATTGGAGTGTCATAAGGCCTGGGACTGAGAGGAACATGTACTGATAACATGTAAATGGACAAGGTCCTTTGGATGACTGGCAGACAGTTCCTCTGAGCTACTGCAGGGCTACAGGTGTCTCAGAACAATCCCCTTATCTGAAGGAGGAGCTCTGAAATCAAGTGAAATGACTAAACTTGCTCTGCTGATGCCTGCCAAGTGCCTCAGTAGCAACATGTTGTCTAGCAAAAATATGTCTCCAAATGACAGCTCCAAAGATGCTACAGAAAGCTTATGCTCCCATAGATTTTGTCTGATTGAGACTGGTGGTTTCAAATTTCTGTGCCAGAGCTTGCCAAGTGCCCTCCAGAAGAGAGATAAACAGGACTCGGTGATCTTCAGCATGAAAAAGAATATATTTTTCTAGAACAATCCATCCCTTGCTCCTTTACCATATATCACGTTCTCTCCAGTGCAGCTGTCATGAACATGTTCATGAGTGACTGAGAAATAAGCACGTCCCAGGCCCAGCAAAGGAGCTGAAGGAGCACCGGCTCAGCCTCTGAGCAGAAGTCAAACCAGAGCAGGGTCATCTGGAAGGAGTGCGATAGCTCCTGCCTAGCTCATTCCGGAAGCAAGGCAGTGTAAGTCCTGAAAGTCTGGCAGGCCATAAGTCGGGGTTCTCACTTATCTGCAGTGCATCAGCCACTCATTTAGCAAAAGCTGTGAAGGCTCAACAGCAGCGAATTCTTACCAACAGCTGTAAAATCACGGAGGGCACACTTGACACATGTAGGCCAACAGTATGGAGACAAGGAACTCTAAAGGAGACAACTCCTTTTGGCTGACCAACCTTTGACAAACACCTGTGGGGGAAGGAAATGTGTGCACTCCCTGATGTCTGCTTCTTTGACTCGACACAGGACACGTCATAGAGCTCCTCCACCCAATATTGCAGGAGCCAAAAGACATAAACGGTAGATAGCAACGAATAACTCTCTTTCCTTGAAAGGGGAGGGTTAATCCCCACCATCATGCCCTATTCATGGTTCAGAAAACACAATTCTTCTGAGGAAAATAATCTGAGTTAAAAATAGATGCGGACCAAAAATGTCTGAAGCTTCACCGACGTAATGTTGAGAGGATGGATGTGCCCAATAGATTGTGCTATCACTTCCCACCTCTCTGGTTGGGTTTTGGGCCTCGAACAGTCAGCACATTGCACAGTTCTTGGTAGATATTTCTCTCCTGGACAACAAAAACATATCCTATGGCATACATAAAGGACTGTCTCCGTTGAGAAGCACATAGTTTGAAACTCAGCTGACCAAAGATACAAGGATAAAAGAGAAAACGGAGGCAAAAAATAACGCTATTTTTACTTTGCTTTTCCTTGCATAAGAATTTTAGGAAAAATCAGGCTGCTGTACATAACATAAGTTGAGGAGAGAAAGCAAAGGTGAGCTCCCTGAATTTTTTCATCCTATGCATGATGCATGTGGGAGGCAGGATACACTTGTATGTGTGTCCCTTGGATCTGAGCTAAAGATCTCCTGTTTGAGTGTGAACATGGCCAACTGCTCAAAAGAAGGCAAAAAGCTATCTTGCAACACATTTTTTTGAAGCATTTGCTTTCAAAATGAACTAATGGAAAACTAGCAAGAGGAGGATCAGGTGGAGAAATGCTGTGGATTCACTGGCCTCTTCAGATCTAATCATAAAGCACAGCAAGAAATCCTCTACTGCATCCATAATAATGTATGTGGGAGAGGAAGGAATATGGCTGAAGAACCAGCCATGACACTTAACTGCTCACTTCATTTCAAGCCTGCTACTGCTGCAGCCTCAAAAAAGAATGAAGTCAGATATGACATTTCTAGATAAAGCAAGTGAAGTATCTCAATTTGTTTCCATCAAGATTTCCTTCACACCCACGGCTAAGACGCTAAGAGGCACTGATCAATTCAGTGAAGGGATGAGGAGAAAACCTAATACCACGTTCTCTTCTTTTTTTTTTCTTTTTTTTTTCAGTCCCTTTAAGAAAGTGACTAATGTGTCTCTGAATAGACATAAATACCATTTCTTTTTCCTGATGGAAAATCTCTAGGAGGAAAGATGACTATGATGATTGATTCTTCAGGCATTTTTATACTACCTGCCACTGACCAATGGATGTGATGTTTCTCTGCATGAGAAAGGGCCTGCTTAGTTACTGGATAAGCTTCTATAAACCATGCTTTACAGATGAGTACAATAGTCCCTCTTGACCTCCTAAAATGCATTTGTAAACTCATTGTTCATGTTCACTGAAAGGACCATTTACCATTTCCATCATCCAGTTCAGAGGAGTCTTTGGAGAACTAATTATCTTACTAAATGAGAAGAACTTTGACTTTGCACCCCAAACACATCAGTTGCGCTTTTTTAATGATCTTTTCTGTAACTGCATGTAGGTTTTGATTGCTGCACTAAAATACTGTGGGACAGTAGCTGAGAAGTAAGGAGAAATACATCAATTAAGAATTTATACTATATTTCAGAAATGTTTTTCCACCTGGTACTCATTTGTCCTCAGCTGAGAAAAAAAAGACAGCTTTATCATTATTGTCATTATTATTGGTTTTACTACTTACTACTGCTTTTGCAAAAACAAAAAAGCCTCACTTCATCAGAGAATGATCAGGCAAACAGACTCACGCAGCTTGGGCAGGGTTAGCTTTGATTTAACTTCTTTAGCCATCATTAGGTCCGAACAATGTCAGGTCCCATTTGTGCAAAGCTGACCTCACGAACAGCTGCTGCAGGGGAACAGCTTGAAGAAGCTGGACTCTAAATATCAAACTGTTTACTTTGCACTGCCTCGGAATCCCACATCTCTCTTTTCAGACAGGAAATTCAGAGTGGCATTGTCTAAAACCGCAACCAAACACCACTTGGTGCAGGCTCTGAGCAGTTGGCCAAAAGAAGATGCTACCATCTCCACCGGAGAATGCTCAGTCAGAAAGACTCTGCTGCTAGTCATAAAGACTCTGATGCTCAGTCACTGACAGCCTGAGAACACTCAGCAGCTGCGTTTCTCAAACTGGGACCAGCTTCCTTAGGAGAGGCTGGTGTCCCACTAGAATCTCCAAACAACAAGCCAGAGGCAATCGAACACAGCTGGCCCAGGCTTGCTATGGTTAAGCCTTGACAAGACTACAGGTCTTGTGCTAAATACCGTGTCATGTATCTCTTTTTTTGCTGATCCTAAGGAAGAACGAAGATATCCTTAGGCTTAGACACAAAATGAGCATGCCTAACTTAATCCAGCGTAAAGCAATTTTGGTCGTCTTCAATGAGAACTGCTCACCCTCTCTCTTCACAGGCCCCTGACCCACTTCCCAGCAGTCTAGTTTTTTTTCCTATATCCTCTCATTTGTGAGTAAAAGCAAAACAAGATGCCCCTGCTTTTTAATACTGTATCTCCCTCAACCAGTTCTGCTACAGTTTACACAAACAATGAAGATGCACAGGAAGGACATGTCCTAGACCCAACCTTAGCATGTAAGCACCTGTGTCACCAACTGGTACAGTAAGATGTTTCTTATTACTTTTGTAAGATGTTAGTATTTGTAATTCACTTTTAATTACAACACAAACCATATTTTTAATATGTGGGGGGTTTTTTTCCCAATCAAAAGAGGGAATGGAAAAAATAAAAAAGAATGTGATCTTGGCTTTTTTCTTTTTTTTTTCTTTTCCTGAGGGCAAAAAATACCAAACAACACCTGGCAAATCTCATGCAGCCACTAAAGCATCTATAGCTGGCAATAACTGAGTTTTAACTTATAAGGGAGAAACAATTGTCCGATTCACTGTTGAGTCTGGTACACAGGGAAGAGGAGGCCAAAAGGTCATCCACAAACATGCCAGACACTGAGCAAGAACAATTCCTTCTTGTGGGCTTGACATGGAAACTAGGTTTCTAAGGCTCCTTGGTTTGTTACCTCTCTCTGAAAAGCACAAAAAAAAATATTCCTGACCTATATTTAATATGCTGAATACTAATGCTTGTCTTGCACTCTTTAGAAACTGTTATTTACCTCTCCTCCATTCTCTACCAAGCTGGCTGGTATACTAGGAATTCACTGCACACTGTTCCCCAAACCTTCTCTCATGCATACAGTGAAGCAAACCCATCAATCCTATTCTTCTTGCTTGTTTTGATATGGTTCAAAATAAGGGTTTTGTTATTCCTGCCCTTTCCCTGAGCTCCTGCCCTCATCTTAAAGCTTCCAAAACTCAGTTTGCTTTGGCTCCAGTGGAGCTGCAAGGGCTTTGCTGTGCCTGTATAAAAACAACGTGATTTGCTCACTAAAGCTACACTTTTGGGGACATGCCCCATGCACTGACCTCCAGCAACGGCCTGGGTTTGCGCTCCACTGCAAACCTGAAGTGGCAGAGTTCACAGAAGCTGGTGTTTGAAGACGACAACCAGTGCTCCAGGCAACTGCGGTGAATAGTCCCCAGGGTCCCTGTACATTCGCAGGGGGAGAGCAGGTCTTCCTGACTGCTGCCTTCATGGCAGATCCTACAAATTGGCCGGTCGTTGAAGGGGCTGCTGGAGGAGAGAAAATTGCTGGTCAGTACACAAGGCTGTGATCTCGTCTCTCTTCCTCTCTGTACATCAAGGATTAACCGCATGGGGAACACTTGCAGCTTGCAGACTTTGCTCTGTAGTTAGTACACCAAACAGCTGGGCTCATGGCTGCAGGCACTTTGGTGTTCTTGCTTAAAGTATCTGTTCTGTGAGGGGAAAACAGTGGATACTGAAAAACATATCAGCGTGGTGGGTGAGAGAAAGATGGCCAAAGGCTCTGCACCCTTGTATTTCTCACTTCACTCCACAGAATGGTGGAGTAGGCACTTCAAGAAATCTCTAAACATACCAGGGAAGTCGTAAGCCTGCCTTAGCTGGGCACCTCTTATGCTAGTGATGGTCCGTGCCAGCACTCCTGACCTACAGGGTAGCATCTCTTACACTACTGATGATCTCCTGACCTATACAGAAAGCTGTTTTCAGGGATTGACTACTGGTCCTGCAACAACAACACCTTGCCCTGTAGCCATCTAAAGGCAGAGCCACAAATTCAGGTAGACATGTGCAGGCAGGAAGCTCCTGTCCCTGGGAAGCATTTCCCTCTCCTGCAGTAAACACCCACAAGCAGATTCTTCTGTGTTACAAAGGAATCTTTTGGGAAAGGGGAAGGCAGTCAATGGCAGTCAGTGATTTCCTGGGGTTCTCGGGCTTAGCACAGCAGAAGGAAAGCCAGAGCAGGCTGTGAGTACAATGCTGACCCATGGATCCCCTTCATCTCAGCCACCCTGATTGACAAGGTGAAGAAAATCGATCTTTTGGCTGAGATCTCAGAATCAAAAACTGCCCCCACCATATACACAACCTCAGGTGATCTCAGAAAAGCAGGTTTTGCCACTGTTGCTGGCAGAACTTCATTAGTGGGTAGTGTACAATGGCACACAGCCCTTCCCTCATCTGGCTCTTCGCAGGCTGCCCCAGCTAGACCTCACCCAAGTGTAACTGCAGGGAAGTATAAAGAAGACAGCCAGTTCCTTTCGATCTGCCAGGTAAAACAGTATGAAGTTGCTCTCGATGCTCTGCACTCACACCTGAGCTGGGCAAAATGCACAGTGTTTTAAAAAGTTGCTAGGATTAAAGGGGAAAAGGCGCTTTCAGGCTGTCACATCACACATGCAGCAGCAGTTAATAATTTCACTCTTCACATGAGCTCAGCGGATTGGATTATGTTCGCTGTTCTGTGAAAATCCGGGGCTACTTCAAGACCCGTGCGGTCTTTCCAGCTTCACACCAGTGAAGTGGAACTTAATCAAAATTAAGTACCCACGTATTAACTCTGGATATGGCCAAACAATTAAACATCCCCTTTCCTGCTTCTAATGAAAACAAAGCCAGCCTGAAGTAGTCCTGTGTTTCAAAAGACATCTATTTCACCATTAATCTACCAGTCTAAACTGACAGCAGAAATAGCCACTCTCAGTCACTTTGATGATGGCTGAAGCAGCAACACCTGCATGTCCAGCTCTGCTAGAAAGAGATCGTCCGGCCGCTCGGTGCGCTGGCTGGTGAAGTGTGAGGGAAGCGTGCTGCAGGAGTGCTGGCAGCAGCACCGGGCTAAACACAGCATCCCATGCTCAGCCAGCGTCCGCCAAAGCCTCCCGCTGTGTATCAGGGCAAAGCACTCGAGCAACAGCATCCCTAGACAGCTTGCTTCCCCCTTCTTCACCAAGCGGTGAAAGCTTAACTACCTACGTACCATAATCATTGTAAAGTTAGGACGAGGGTTTAATTACAAGTGCACCGCGGTAAAACCTCCACGAAGCACACCTCCCCACACACCCTCCCGGGTCCCCCCATTTTCCCTGCAAGCACCCGTGGGACTTTCAG